ACTCCGTCACCTCTGTCGCAATCTCATCGTGCTTACCCGAGAGACCGATCTGCTCAAAGTGACAGGCGAAGGCGATCACACGAGGCTGCTCGAAGACTGTCGAAGGCTTCTGAACGCTGTACAACTTTAGGGCGTCACCTGTCGACTCATTAGCAATGAAGTTGAAGCCGTTGCCAACCGACGAGTCGACCTTCCACCCTGCGAGCTGAGGAACTGCCTCCACAATCGGCTCGGCCTCCGAAAGAATCTTCCCCATCACTGTGAGCTGCTTGTTAGGCTCCCCATCCCTGAGAGGCTTAAGGCGCAAGATGCGAGGGCCCGTAGGGGTGGTGTAAGAGTAGCCGTCGGGGAAGTTCTTACGAAAGGTCTCGATCGCCTCAGACGCTGCATCACCGGACGGGAAAGCAATAATCACTTTCTTCGAGAAGTTCTGCGGAGCGGCCTTCATCTGAACCTGGACTTCAGCACTTGCGCACGACGCAAGAATCTCCTGACTGGCTTTTAGCGAAGACCGCACGAGCGAACACTCCCCCAAAGCCCATAACAATCCCTTTCGAGAGCAAGTCCTGGTTCCCGAGCCTGGCACGAGCACTGACACGGGCCTTCTTCGCCGAGCTATCGCCACTGTCGTCGCTGTTGAATCCGAAGCCGCCGCCGCCGCCAGATGCCGTCGCTCTCAACGCCGCCAACGCCGCATCCGTCTCTGCTAGCTTCTTTTTCTGTTGATTCAAACCCTCCTGCAAATTCTTCATCGATTCGGCAAGCTCGGCTACCTGTTCCGTCACCTGCGTGACCGACCCACTCATCTTCGCCACCTGGGCTGCCAGATCCCTGATCGCTTGCTCTGTGGCGTTCGGCGCCATGGCACCGCTGAACCGGGCACTGACTGAGAACGAGAAGTGATCCGATCTGGTCGGAGAGAGGGGGGAAGCAGAGCAGGGCAGCTGCGCCCAGGATTCGAGCTGCCCCCTCAGCAGCGACCAAGCTCGAAGCGCCAGGGTCGCACGTTTCGAACTTGAGCCACAATGGCTACGGATAAGGATGGTGATGATGATGACGACGACGACGACGATGATGACGATGATGAAAAGTATGGTGATGATGACGATGATGATCATGATGATGATGGTGGTGATGAAGATGATGGTGGCGATGATGGCGGCGGCGGTGGCGACGAGGAGGAGGGGGAGGAAAAGGAGGGCAATAATGAGAGAGAGGATGACGATGAGGAAGAGGAGGATGAGGAGGGGGAGGAAGGGAGGAAACAGCCCAAGGAGGAGGAAGGGAGGAGGAAGAGGCAAGGCGCAAGAGGCAGGAGGAAGAGGAGGAATGGGAGGAGGAGGAAGAAGGAGGAGGAGGAACAGGAGGAGGGGGAGGAGGAGGCCGAGAGACGAGGAGGCAGGAGGAGGAGTGCGCCATAGAACGAAGCGCGGTCGGACCGCGGCCCGCCCCGCACGGGAGCCTGCCTTCACCTGAGGAAGACAGACCCCCCGACCGTGAGGTCGACGAAGACGACCCCGACCGTGAGCGCGAGCACGACGAGCCAATACCCGCCCTCGGCTTACCCCAGGCCGTCGGGATGTCCGTTGCCGACGAGCCAGAGGACAAAGAACACGACGCCCTTGCCTTCCGCGACGGCCATTACCGACGTCACGAGCTCCACGAGCACCCCGCGCACGAGCTCCATGAGAAGCATTGAGCGCAATCACCACGGCCACGCTGCGAGACATCACCGTCACTTGTCCCGCCGACGGGCACGCTGCACCTTGGCCTCGCAGTACATGACCCAGGCACATGCGTCGCCGACCCCGTCGAACCGATCCTCCTCCACGAGCCGATCGGCTGCGTCGCCCTCGCCACGAATCCTGGCTAGCCCCGCGCGGCGCTCCTCCACCGACATGGGCAAGGAAGGCCTACGTCAGCGTCGCCCACTCGCCAGGCAGGCCGTCGGATGTCGCGGTCAACATCGCGGTCGCAGGCCACGGCGCTCTCCGCCACGTGCTTCTGCAGCACCTTGAGCCTCACAACTCCAACGGGCAGGGTGGCGACCTCGGCGGCTGCGACTGGCAGCGGCCCGTGCATAGCGGGGCCCTCTCGAAGTGCGCGACGCCAACGTCTTGAGGGTTGTTTGTGCTGCACCCCGCCGCGCAAGGTAGGGCGCGATCATTCATACCCACCGCCAGCGATCCTCTGATGCTCACCCTTTGCCACGGGCAGGTCCAGCGCACCGCCAGCGTGCACCGCCTCCTCCAAGACCGACGGCCGTCGCCGAAGCTCCATTGCTCCTGCGCTTCTCCAGCTGACTGCCCTGGTACTCGAAGGAGCTCTGCGCGCCGAGGGAGTCCACAAGCACCTCGCAATCGGGCAGCGTGTGCACCGAGAACACCTGCACGACACTGCCTCCGTCAGCTCCGCGGCCAACGCCCTCCAGCGCCTAGAGCAGAACTGGGGGCCCGACGTCAGGTCCGCCAGCACGGGGGCTCCGCCTTCCTGACCCTGCCGGCCAGGCTGCAGCAGGCCCCAAAAGGGGAAAGCTGAGCCCGCGCTTCCACACAGCTACCGCCCCGTCCGTGGCCACGCCTTCGGCCGCCGACCGCTGGGCAGGCGGGCGGCGGCGCGCGGCGCTCACAATCGGCGCCCGCACCAGCCGCAGGTGGCGGCCCGCGAGCTCTCGCTCGAAGGAGCGCCAGGGCCCTCGACTGCGAGCGGCGAGTCGCCGACACCGCCCCTGCCACGGCCACCCGGTGAGCTGCAGCACCCCCGCCGACGCGATGACCACCGCAGGCACGGCGGCGCAGTGCAGTCCAGTGTTGCGGCGCGCCGTCTGCACGGGTCCCGCCGCATGCGCCTTGCCATCCACGAACCTGCCAAAACGCTCTCCAAAATCGACGCCGCCAGAGCCAGCCTGGGCACCAGCTCCCCAGCCAGCGCCTCGCACGGCGTTGCCACCTTTCCCTGCGACGCGGCCAACGGCACGGACTGGGTCGCAGCGGCCTGGTACCTCGCCTGCTCCGCGCCGAGCTGAGCCTCCAGCGACACGACGGATGCCCTCCAAATCTTCGACACGGCGGAACGCGGCCTCCCGTCAGCTGCCTGCCACGCAGCAGCCCGCCGCGCGCGCCTCACAGGGCACGGACCAGAAAGAGAGGCCCCAGCCGCTGCCAAGAGGTTGCTCCGCCGCCAAGGGAGCCGCCGCTTCCTGCCCAGGGCGCAGCCAGCCGCGCGCCCGCGCGGCCAGGGATCAGCTCTTAAGCCAAAATGTCTACAGAGAGGAGGCAGGAGGACGAGGAGAATGAGGCGGGAGGAGCGGGCAGGAGGAGGGGGGTTAGGAGGAAGCAGGAGGATATCCGAGCAGAAAAGATTCTCATGTGGGGTCCTGTATTTGGGATACTTCCCCTAAATGTTCGCGATCTCGCCTTCTGGGCTTCCGAAAGACAACGACGGCACAAGACACCCGCAAGACAGCCCCAAGACGGCCAACAATACCCCCAAGAGGGCCCCGATACGGCCCAAGACGGACCAAATAGGGCCCCGAGGCAATACCAAGATGGCTCAAGAGGGCCCCAAGACAACCCGATAGTCCAAAGAGTCTGTCAAGAGCCACAAGAGGTCCTAAAGACGTTCCACCTAGGCCCCCGAGACGGTCTCCACAGGCGCCAGACGGACCGCGAGCACACCCTAATACAGCCAAGGAGAGGCCCCAACGTGGTCCAAAAGAGCCTCAAGAGGCTCTCGAGAAGGCCTACACAGGTCCAAAAGAGCCCCAAGGTGATCCCCGAGGGCAGCTCCCTTGTGCCCCACACCTAGTTTCGCCAAGCGCTGGAGGAGCACACAGTTCACTAGCATGGCCGCACCTTCGCTCGACATTTCACCACACAGGCGTTTCCAAAAGGGAGGGGGATGGCGGCGGGGTAGTTCGCCGTTGGCATCTTCGATCTGCCGCGCCCAGTGCCTGCCAGAGCGGTGCATGGCGTGCCGAACTGCATAGCCCGTGTTGGCCCTTTCCAGGAGGTTCTCACTGGCGTCTGGGCAAACCCGCCGGCCGCGCGGAAAAGCTCGGACCACGCACCTTTCCCGTCCAAGATGGCTCCTTGAAGGTCCGCCAGGAGAGCCCTTCGTCGGCGTCGAGTGGTTGAAGGATCCACGGCCGAAGATGGCCCCAAGGCGGCTCAAAATGGCCTCAAGACGCCCCAAGAGTATCTCCAGGCGGCCCCCAGGAAGCAAAAATCCGGTGCCCCTGACATGCTTTTACTTGTTTTCGCATTCTGGCCTGCTCGGATGTTCGAAAGCCCAAGACGCCGCAAGAGGCCCCCAAGATCGCGCCGAGACAAGCCCAGAGGCCCCCGCAACGGCCCAAACAAGACTCCAGATGATCCCACACAACCCCAGGACGACCCAAAAAGGGCCCTACGGACGGGAACGTGTGCTTCGCGTGTCGCGGCGGCGGCCCTGGCGACACACGGTGCGTTGCAAGCGGATAGTGTGTGCCGCTCCGCTTCGCGGGGGTGGGAGGCTGGGAAAAAGCTCGGCACGTGGACGCCCGGGGACCACGAAGTGGATAGCACGTCGCGCCGAGGCGTGGTGGGCCAGAACTGGTTGAGCGACACGCTCAACAAAAGCTCCTCATCGTAAGACGGCCCACGAGGGGCCAAAAAATGATCCTGAGAGCCCCAAAATGTCCCCGGGTACGGTTCAAACAGCCGCCCGAGACGGTCTCCGAAGGCGCCAGACGGCCTGAGAGCACTCTAGTACAGCCTAAGAGGGCGCCAAAATGGCCCAAGACAAAATTCAAATCGGCCCCCCCAGAAAAACACTAACCCCAAGATGGCCCCAGAGGGTCCCCTGCCTGCTGTTCCTCAGTGGTGCCACCGAGCGACGAGGTGGCACCCAGATCACTGGCATAGCTGCACCTTCGCTCGACATTGCACCACACTGGCGCTTTCAGAAGGTAGGGGGCGGAGGCAATTCGCCGGAGGCGCATTCGATAAGGAAGAAGGACGGAAGGAGAGGGGGAGGAGGGGAGGAGGAGCAGAGCAGGCTCCGAGATCGGGGACCTGACGGCGGGGGCCGAGAGGCCCGGCGGACCCTCAGGCGCGAGTGGCGAAGCGGGCGCCGCTCTCGAGGTTGACAAGGGAGATCCAGCCCGGAGGGTCCTGGCCCGTGAGCCGCACTCCTGCCGCCTTCCCCCCCCTCCACTCTCAGGAGAGGGGTCACAAGGAGCAGGAAGAGGAGGGGGAAAAAGGGGAGGGGGTGGTGGTGGTGGTGGTGGTGGTGGTGGTGGTGGTGGTGGTGGTGGTGTGGTGGTGGTGGTGGTGGTGGTGGTGGTGTGGTGGTGGGGTGGGTGGTGGTGTGTTGTGGTGTGGTGGTGGTGGTGTGATTGTGGTGGTGGTGGGGTGATTGGTGGTTGGTGGTGGTGATTGTTGAGTGTGGTGGTGGTGGGGGTGGTGTGGTGGTGGCGGTGGTGGTGGTGGTGGATTGTTTGGGTGGTGGTGGTGGTGGTGGTGGTGGGGTGGTGGTGGCGTGGTGGTGGGTGTGGTGGGTGATTGTGGTGGTGGTGTTGTGATTGTGGTGGTGGTGGTGGTGGTGGTGGTGATGGTGGTGGTGGGGATGTTGTTGTGGTGGTGGGGGGGTGGTGGTGGTGTGGTGGTGGTGGTCGAGTGATGTGGTGATTGTGGTGTGGTGGTGGTGGTGGTGGTGATTGTTTGTGGTGGTGGTGTGTGTGGTGGTGATTGTTGTGGTGGTGAGGTTTGGTTGGTGTGTGGTTGGTGTGTGGTGGTGGGGTGGGTGGTTGTGTGGGGGTGGTGGGTAGTGGTGATTGTGGTGGTGATTTTGTGGTGGTGGTGGTGGTGGTGGTGGTGGTGGTGGTAGGTGGTGTGATTGTTGTGGTGGTGGTGGGGGGTGATTGTTGAGTTGTGGTGGGGTGGTGGTGGTGGTGGTGTGTGATTGTGGTGTGGGTGGTGGTGGGGGTGGTGATTGTTGTGGTGGGGTGGTGGTGGTGTGATTGTTGTGGTGTGGGGTGGGTGTGTTGGCAGTTTGGTGGGGGTGGTGGTGTGGTGGGTGGTGGGTGGGTGGGTGGGTGGTGGGGGGTGGGCTGGGTGGTGGGAGGTGGGGGGGTGGGGGGGGTGGGTGGTGGGGGGGTGGGTGGTGGTGGGTGGTGGGTGGGTGTGGGTGGGTGGTGGTGGTGGTGGTGGTGGTGGTTGTGGTGGTGGTGGTGGTTGTGGTGGTGGTGGTTGGTGGTGGTGGTGGTGGGTGGTGGTGGTGGTGGTGGTGGTGGCGGCGGCGGCGGCGGTGGTGGTGGCGGCGGCGGCGGTGGTGGTGGTGGTGGCGGCGGCGGCGGTTGTGGTGGTGGTGGTGGCGGCGGCGTCGGTGGTGGTGGTGGTAATGGTGGTGATGGTGGTGGTGGTGGCGGCGGCGTCGGTGGTGGTGGTGGCGGGCCTCGAGGAGTGGGAAGAGGAGGGGGAGGAGGAGGAGGGGGAGGGGGACAGGGAGGAGGAGGAGGAGGAGGAGGAGCACAGGGAGGAGGAGCAGGAGGAGGACCAGTGTAAACCCCAGACTCATCAACGATATTGGAATGAACCCTCCCTCGAAGCTCTCTCTTTGTAGGCCCCTTCCAAGGGTTCTTTACCACTGAGCGAACTGCCCGGAGGGTCCTGGCCCGTGAGCCGCACAACTGCCGTCTTCCCCCCCCTCCACTCTAAGGAGAGGGGTCACAAGGAGCAGGAAGAGGAGGGGGAAAAAGGGGAGGGGGTGGTGGTGGTGGTGGTGGTGGTGGTGGTGGTGGTGGTGGTGGTGGTGGTGGTGGTGGTGGTGGTGGTGGTGGTG